GTGGGGCAGCGCTCCTTGTAATTTCCCCACCATCACTCTTCAAGCCAGTTTGGCCAGACTTCCTTAGGATTTCATCAGGAATAACGAACTTCTTGCTCCATTATTAAGTTTTTATTTTAAGAGTAATTCTTGGTTGTTGCATAAAGTCTGGAGGGAAGACCCCATCGAATATTATAAAGAAGGAAGAAAAAAAAAAAAAGACCCCATGCCCTTCTTGCTTCATTTTAAAGGCAGCTGCCTGGTACTTGGACCATCACAGCAATTGTATGTCTTTGCCATTATGCAGGTCACAACCACCCACACGCACACAGGCAGACCCACAGACACACGCATGCTCGCGCACGCGCGCGCGCACACACACACACACACAGAGTGAAACAACAGTTTCCAGATCATGCACTGTGCTTCTAGTAACAAACCACAGTCTGCCTCTGGGACCTGTGACTGCTGGGCTTTGCCCTGAAAGAGAAGGCTCCATGGGAAGTGCTCTTGCCCCAGCTGGCAGCCCAGCCTCCAGGCAGCTTTCAGCAAGCCCCAACAGGATGCCAGGCGGGCGGGTGGGCGGGCAGGAAGAGATGCCGCTCTGAACCTCTCCCTGCTGTAATTTACTAAATCCATCTGGGGCTCCTTTGAGCCATTTTCTGGAAATGCCACATTTCAAGGGTCTCCCTGTTAGAAAAGGTCAGGGAGTTCACGTAGGCCTTTCATGTTAAAGGAACTTGAAAGAAAAGGAAAGGAAATGTATATTTTCAGCCTTAGCTGTGATTAAGTGGGCTCAGGCCATGAGAACATTCAGATGATTTACGTGACATTACATGAAGAGCCAATTAGCCTAACAACTTCCGAAAAATATCTAGCTCAAGAGCACCCATTATTCAAGCACTTGGAATGTGCCAAGCCTTGTGCTAAGCTCTTTACTAGCATGCAATGACTCATCTCAATCTCGCTCTAACAGTGCTGGGCAGGCTTGGGTCTGATACCCATTTCAGCCACGAGGAAGATGAGGCTCAGAGATGACTAGTGATTTGCCTGGGGTCCCACAGCTAGGAAATGGCAGGGCAGGGATGGGAACTCAGGTCTATTGAACTCTATTGCTCCAACTCTCAACCCTAGAGAGCCGACTATGTCCTTCATCCAGCATCTGAGGACAGCTCATGTTCACCTGGTTCATTTGAAAGGACATGAAGCCTCATTAAATGACCAGCTCTAACCCTGGGCTGGATGAGGCCAGAAGACTCTGGGGCTTCCCTACAGCTGGTCCTGGTCCCAAAGCTCCCTGGTCATCTTCGGGGCACAGCCACAGCAGACCCCACTCACCATCCCATGGAAGAGGCCCAAGGAATCCCAGGGTCTATTGTCTCTGTAAGGGGCCCTGGTGGCGCAGTGGTTAAGCGCTTGGCTGCTAACCAAATGTTGGTGGTTCAAACCCACCAGCTGTTCTGCAGGAGAAAGATGTGGCAGTCGGCTTCCATAAAGATTATAGCCTTGGAAACCCTATGGGGCGGTTCTACTCTGTCCTGTAGGATTGTCATGAGTCGGAATCAACTCAATGGCAATAGGTTTTGGGGTTTATTGTCTGTCAGTTCTGAGTCAGTGCCCAGAGCAGGCAGCCTAGGGTGGGCCCAGGAGAGAAATGGTACAAGTTGAGGTCTGTCTAGATCAAGATAGAGGCTCTGGGTCCTTTCATCCAGCGAAGGGCTTGGGCTACTCCATACAGTCCATCCAGGGAGAGTCCTCAATCCTTCTGCTGGCCCCTCCATACGACATGAGCCACCCAGAAAGTTGGGGCTCTATTAGTGGCAGCTCATTCATCAGCATTTGTCTGCCAAGACCACAAGGCAGATACTCACCCTGGAATTTTAGGGGTCATAATAGAACACTAGAGCATGGTAGTTAGGGTGTGGGCTTGGAAGTCAGATTTCTCAGGTTTAGAATTCCAACTCCCTTACTTAGAAGCTGTGCAACCTTAAATGACTTACTCAAAGTCTCTGAGCTTCAGTTTCTTCATTTATAAAATGGGAATAGTCCCTATGGTATAGGGTTGATGTAATGATTAAATGAGATAATGTGTGTGAAGTTCTTAACATGATGCCCTGCACATAGTAATCACTCAGTAAAATGAAGTCATTATGTGGATGATGATGATAATGATGGGATCAGTGGTAATCAGGCAAGGGGCTCCTGTGGGGCTACAACCACCTTTGGGGACAAAGCTCCTGTTCCTCTCTACCTCTCCAAGCCCTACCAAGTCTTCCAGTCCCAGCTGAAGTCTGCCTCCCCCAGGAAGCCACCCTGATCATTCCAGCCCACACTGATATCATATCTAAGCTCCTTCTGCCATGGCCTGTATAGACTAGGTCAGCACCAAACTCTGCTCTAATAATTTCTCAAGCAGCCACAGACTCCTGGAGGACAGGACACCCTCCTCTCCCCCTTTCCTCCCCATGGCCTGAGCCCAGGGCTAGGTACCCAGTGGGTGCTCCCTCATCAGGCTTTTAGACTGATTTCAGTGTGGCTGTGGATGCCTATGACTCAGCCCGCGTCTCCCTCCCTTTCATCTCCTCACACTCCTATTCTCCCTACTCCCCCGTCCCCTCCCATGGCTCCATTCAGCAGGGCAAGGGGTTGGAACCTTGACCCCATAGAACAGTGGTTCCCACACTTTGGGATTTCAAACCCTATAAAATGTCCAAAGAAACTTGGGGGCAGGACGATAAACAGAGTGGCCAAGTTTTTCCTTTGCCAAATAAGGTTATTAAAAAATCTATTCTCACTATCATTTTAGTAAAGAAAGCTGTTTTCACACCAATAAAGCAGGAAGGCCATAATCTCTGATTAAAGGCTAACACTTTAAGGTAAATAAATTTAGCCTTATTGAAAAACAAACAACTCTCACTGTTGCCTTGACCTCTTAGTGCTCCTTTCTCCGTGGACTGGAGAAAACTTTGATCCCCATTGCCTTGTGTCCACTGGGACCTCATAGGTCTGGGGACCTCTAGTCTGAAGGAGGCGCCCACTGAGCTGGAATCACCCACAAAGACAGGAAAAGCCCAAAGCATTTTACTTTGTATTAGGTAAATCAGTCTTCCTGTTCAGTTTTTCCAGAGGAAGCTCATCCCAAAGCCAGATCCTAAGGCCTCAGGGGTTAAGGGATGAGGAAGCTGCAGAATGGGTGAAGGAGATCGTGGGGCCCCTCCCACAGATCCTTCTCTCCTCCCAGCTCTGTGGGAGCTCAGAGCTGGACCACAGAACCCACTGCAAGATGGGCGGGGCAGTGTGGGAGCCCCAGCTTCCAAGCTGAAGGGTCTCCCTCTTAGGTCTTGATCCCAGCCTGGCTCTACCTGAAGATTTGAAATCTGAGGGGATAGAGTGAGACAGAGCAGCAAGCTTACACTCGGGGGAAGAAGGCTGGGGGGACCCAATGGGCTGGGTCTTCTCCCCATCTCCATCGCCAAGCTGAGCTCCAGTGCTCAACCTCCTTCAGCCTAGGAGAGGAAAAGTGGTCACCAAAGCGCCGAGGTGGGGCGCCAAGGCGCCCCGCTGGGCGGGATCAGATAGAATCTAAACTCAAGGAGCAAGGCCAGGCTCTTTCATCCGCAGCCAGCCAGGCTGGGCCTGGACCAGAGGGGCGGCAAGGCCCTCTTCCGGCCAGGCTTTGCGCAGCAGCCAGGGGTCCTGTGGGGCCCTGATTGGGAGAGGCGTATAATTCACAGCCTCCTCCCAACACCACCCCCCCAACCTCCCGCGTCTAATTCGCACTCTCCCCCCAATATTCTCCGCCCCAGTTGCTCTCGGGAGAGGCGGGAGCTTCTACAGTGAATCCAGCACAGAAACCTGCTTGGGGGCTGCGGTTTACTGCACTGCGATCCAAAAGAGCCTGTGTCTTTCGTAGATGCAGTGGCTGAGCCGAGACCAGGCATGATGGGAGACCCCGTGGACGCGCCCTGGGTGCCGTGTAGATGCTTTGGAACCCTAACCACGTTCTCATGCTCCGTGGGCTGGGGACCTTTCAGCCTAGATCTCACCAGAGGCCGCCATGGACTTGGGAATGCAATTTCCCAGTTGAGCACACGACGAACCTCTCGTCTAAATCCCGTGGCCCACGTGGCGGCCGGAAGCCCGGAGTCCCAGGGCTACAGGTTCTAGTCATGGAACTAAGAGAGTCTAAGAGGGTTCGGGTAGGGGATGGGCTTGGGGGAGAGAGAGAGGTCCAGCCCGTCACATATGTGTGATTTATGAGCTCTGCATACAGCATGTGAGGGGAATATAATGTTCGCGCTGTGTGCAGGCGACCTATAAGGAGGTCCCAGATAGGACTAGGGCTCAAGGATGAGGCAGAGAATGTGTCTTCTGTGGAGTCTAACTCTACCAACCGGGGGTCCGAGCACAGCCCTTGAACAGCTCCAAACTTTGTTCAGCCCTAGGAAGCCTCCAGTTCCACGCACGGGAGGTACTGGGCCCGGGACCCAGACGCAGCTCACACCACCGTTTGGTTCGTGTTCCAAGCCACTCCCAAACCCCAAGAGCCTTGGGGTGGGGCCCTCAGCAGCTAGGAGAGAAACCTGGGCACAGGGAGGGAATCACTTATTGTAGATGAGGAAGTGGGGTCAGAGTTCTCCTTTAGAGTCCTTTAGGGTAATGCTTTGCAGTCTCTTCCGACGCCTCACTGAGGTTAAGCTCGGGAAATAGCGAGCCCTTTAAGACTATGCCCACTGGGCAAGTCTCAGCCTCTCGGGGGAGTAGACGGACGGGGCGGGGCAACTTGGTCCCACCCACCGACCGGGGCCCGCCCCCGGAGTCCCCGCCCCGCCCCCGGCACTCCGCCGGCGGCGCCTTTGATGTTTG